ACACACACACACACACACACACTCACACACACACACAACCCTACACACCATAATTTCTTTATCCATTCAATTGTTGATGAACATCTAGGTTGGTTCCATAGCTTAGCTATTGTGAATTGAGCTGCTATAAACATTGATGTGGCTGTGTCATTGTAGTATGCTGATTTTAGATCCTTTGGGTATATACTAAGGAGTGGGAAAGCTGGGCCAAATGGTGGTTCTTTCCAAGTTTTCTGAGGAATCTCCATTCTGCTTTCCATAGTGGTTGTACTAATTTGTGGTTCTTTGAACAATGTATGAATATACCCTTTCCCGCACAATCTCACAATCATCGTTACTTGTATTCTTGATAATTGCATTTAGGCTCATTTTCTGTTGCCAAAAAATATGTCTTACATTCTGTTGTGCTCATAATAATGTTCAGAATAGTGCTTTCCGTATAAACATTAAATACTTAACCAAGTTAATTAAGAGCAAAAGCAGAAATTTGCCTCTTCTTTGCTTCCTTATCTTACATATTCTTAATTTTTAAATCCCAAAAGTTTTCAGTTCTTGGTCATTGAGAAAGGAAGTCACTCAAATAGTGAACATAATGTGATAATCAGTTGAATTTTATTTGGGAAAATAAAAATAAATTCTATTTTAAAATGACATACTTGATATAGGAATCTGGTAACGCAATTATTAGCTGCCATGACCAAATAATAGTACATTTAAGTGATGTTTAAAAATGTGATTTTTTTTTTAATTACATAAAAATTTACCTGACATCATGACTTATTTTTTTTTTTTTGGGGTATAGCTTGCATGGTTTTGTTTGTTTGTTTTCAGAGAAACTATTTACTGTAGCTCCTCCAATTTTAGGGCTTGTATTTGATCTCATCCTCTTTTAGGTAAAAGTGGGTGATGATAAAACTATAGAGAAATACTTGACATCTTTCATGAGTTGACTTTTGAGGCCCACCACTTATTAGTGCTATGCAAGCCATTCCCATATCTCAAAAGGGAGGTTACTGGTCATCATGCAGGAGAAACGATGCCTCAGAGCAGGTCCTTACTAGGTATGGATGCATGTTCATAATGCCTGCACACTTCCAGATGCTATTCCAGTTCTCTGCCATCCTGTGGAGTAGAAGCTGTTGCTACTAATGCAGGGATTGGCAGGTAATTTGCATTTTCAGGTCATATGAACTAGAATTAGAGGAAAAGTCAACAGGATTTGAGAGGGAGACTGTCACAGATCTCTTGGGCTGCAACTCTAGAAGAATAAGGATACTTTTTTCCCCACAGAGAAAAATCAAAACTAGCATTTTTGTTTTTATAAGGTTGAAATCAACCACATTATGACTAAAAACAAATTCCTCCAAAAGACTTTAGTAAGGACACCCAATGAACATGATAATCAACATAGACTGTTTTTTGTTTTTACTTCTTCAATTTTCTTTCTTTTTTTTTTTTTTTTTGGTGATGCTGGGGATTGGACCCAAGCAAGGCCTTAGCACATGCTAGACTAGTGCTCTCCCATTGAGCTATAACTCCCATTCTTTACTTTCTTAAAGGTAATGTTTTGTGTTGTTTGCCTTAATTAAAAATGATATTTACTGAGATTATTTTAGTACTAGATATGAAATATAAGTTTACATGAGAGGCTATTGAAAAAAGATTCTAAATGGAGGGAAAAATACAATTTTTGAATTTATCAATTTCTTTCTTCATTAACAATGATGGAAAAATGAAATATTTACTTATTTTTTGGAGCATAGCTGCCTTCTCTATATTGCCTATTCTAGACAGTATTCTATCTTAAAATATTACCTAAGTGATATATATGTACACATACGTAGATGTGTATGTATCTGTATAATTTACATATAATTATATCTATAATTTAGAATACTTATTTTCACACCTATAATCCAAGCCACTCAGGATCACAAGTTTGAGGGAAGCCTCAACAATTTACTAATGCATTCTCAAAATTTAAAAATTTAACAAAGGGTTGGGGATAGACTCAGTGGTAGAGCACTTTCCTGCAAGCTTGAGACCTTCGGTTCAATCCACAGTACCGTAAAACAAACCAACATATTTTCACCTCTTTACGTGTCAGCAAAATGAAGCTGTGAGGGGTTATTATAATTTAACATGTGGCCACATTAGTTAAAGAGGTTCCAAACTCAGGTTCTTTTGAGTGTACAGCCCTTACTGCTTTCTCTGTATGCCACTGCCTGAATTCGTATAATTGGTGATATAAAGATTATCTGTAGCATTCAAAGCAAATGATGATAGTTGGATGAGGCAAACATTGTAAACTTGAGTTTTTCTATTTTTTTCTCTCAATAGTTCAGAATGAAATCATTGTCCTTACAACAAATACAGAAGATACTATGAAAAATAGAGTGAGGAGAACAGAAATCAATGTAGAAGGGGAAGCAAAAAATAAGGACACGGTCATGGAAGTTGACAGACAGTCAAGCTATCAAGCACATGAAACTGTTAATGTTATAGCAAGGAAAATCATCGACCAGAACCATCAGTACCAGACCACAAACTGAATCAGCTTGGTGCAGAAAAGATGAAAAGGCAAGATGCAGCAATTCAGACAATCCCTTCCAGCAACAGTTCTGAGGGGAATCACCAAGATCGTAATGTGCGTGCTTTCAAAGTTGATGAAAGTGTGCAAACTTCAAATAACAAACCAACTCAACACCTATCTTTAAATCTACAAAATCATGTAACTACCTCAAGAGAATTGAGGATTCAGAGCACCCCAGTTGTATATTCAGAAGACAGACTTGCCATAAAAGATCCAACTTGTGCACAAGGCAATGATGATCCTTTGTCTCCTATAGATGGAATTGATAAATATTCAGCTGCTTCTTATCTAAAGAATCTGCCAATTTACAGACAAGACTATAATCCCAAGCCAAAACCTTCAAATGAAATTACAAGAGAGTATATACCCAAAATTGGAATGACTACTTATAAAATAGTACCTCCCAAATCCCTGGATATACTGAAAGACTGGGAATCAGAAACCATAGGGTATAAAGATGATCAAAAGATACATGCTTCAGGGAATGTGAAGGAGGTGGCCCTGCAAACACAAGACCTTTTTACTTCTGAAGGCCCAGGGGAGCTACAGGTAGACCCTAAACCAAAGCCTAACTTGAGAACAGAGCAACAGTTGCACAGGGCTGTGAGCTCACACGATGGTGCTGTGACTAATCCTTGGAAACTTCCCAGAATGACTAGAGACATTGGCACAGCTCCTTTTGCACCAAATTTGGAAGAAATAAACAATATTTTGGAATCGAAATTTAAATCTTGGATCAAATCCCCAGGCCAAACCAAGTTCTTTTTTCTTGAAGATGCAGAAGAGAGTATCAGGTCAGTATGTGACATCTGCAGCTGCCAAGAATGTCCATACTATCCCTAATCCTTCCCCCAAGGAACTAACAAAAAAAGAGATGGAAAGGGACACACTGCCTCATTCAGAACAGACACTTTCTCCCTTAAGTAAAACTACTCACCCAGCTCCACAGCCCCAAACTAAAAAGATGGAAGATGACATCATCAACCAGAAACCTGCTGAAACCTCTCCTCCTCCTATAGCTCCCAAGCCTATGCCTCTTCCCACTAGTCAGGTAGCAGCGGTAAACCGAAGATTCTGAAAACTTTTGGTGCCCCAAGACCATACTCAAGTTCTGCTCCTTCACCATTTGCCCTTGCTGTTGTGAAGAGGTCACAGTCTTTCAGTAAGGCACAGCCCGAGTCACTCAGTTTGGGTGCATCCAACCAACCTCCAGCTCACCCAGAGGATGGGAGGACTTGCTGTGTACACAGGTGTGCAGACATCCCACAAATTGATATGATGGATAAGGTAAATGTTACCTTTTTAAAAAAAATAAGTATTTGGATTATTATGGAACCTGGTTAAAATAGTGGATAACAAGCATGTTGGTGTGTTTGTGCATTACTGAACTCTGAATTCTTATTAATAGAATACCATGCTACTATAGGGAAGAAATTAATACATATAATATCATTATTTAGTGTGTATAATTCACATAACTTTATTAGATATTACTATAAGGTTGTAATTATATAATTGTATTGTTAGTAATGGTATTAAATTTCTTCATTCATAGGCCTTGTTAATTTACTAGTTTTGAGTTTGAACTATTTTCTTTGCTAATTCATTTTTAATTTTTCTGGATGTCCTGGCTTACTTCATGTTCTCTTCATGTGTTACAGTAATATATAATGCAATATAAACAGTGTTGGTTATATGAAACAGCAGAATCAAAGACTAGATAAAGTAACCCAACACCTGGGCTGTGCCTTTTCCATTATATTCATTCAGTCTCACAGCTGACCATACATTTTTGCATGTAACTAATTCAAATTGAAATCAGTTCTAAAGTGTATCTTTCTTTTTTTTAAAAAAAAGAGAGAGAGTGAGAGACAGAGAGAGTGTAAAGAGAGAATTTTTTAAATATTTATTTATTTATTTATTTTAGTTATCGGCGGGCACAACATCTTTGTTTGTATGTGGTTCTGAGGATCGAACCCGGGCCACACGCATGCCAGGAGAGCGCGCTACCGCTTGAGCCACATCCCCAGCCCCAAGTGTATCTTTCTTAATTCCCCATTTTGTTAAGGTCACCTTTTTCAGTTATACATGTGTTGACTAAAACATCATCCAACTACTGTCTAGCCTTAATGACTTACCAAAAAGTGTGTCATTGAGTTGATGCTTAGTCAACTAAATAGTGTATTTTGCCAGGTTCAGACTGTATAGACAATGAGGGTATGAAATTCACAGTGTGACTCATGATAATCTGCATGTGAGTTTTAAGAAATGTTTTGTGTACTTTTACTCTGATGGTGTTTAAAGAATACTTTCATATTTGTGTGATGGTTCCAGAAGTATTTTACACTACTTTTTCAAACATTCATAGAGTAGGAGAACATTTTTCAGTAATTTTAAAGCAATATTTATAGTGGAAAATATTTACATTTACATAAAAATATTTACATTATTTGTTAAAGCATCAGGAAGTGATGTATGATATAGACTTTTATTCTTGAGTTGGGAATAAAACCTGCATTTTTTCCTTAAACTGGAATATCATTCCTAAACAATGGAACTTTGATTTAGATAATGCATTTTTTGAGTCATTGTCCAAACCATGTTTAACTCATTATTTTTTATGGCAGTTGGAAAAAGACATCTTTAAGATTACTTGATTTGCCAGTTAATTCTGATACTGAATATTCCTTCCTAAGAAGTTTAAGATTTTGATTCTTCAGTTTGGAAGTTACTAATATTTATTTTTATCCTCGTGGGAAAAATAAAACAGCCAACACAAAGTCCCCATGACTTCCTGAAACACAAAATAAATATTTACATGTAGTAATTGATATTCCTTTATTAAAAGATACATTAGATTTAACCACTATGAAATTGTCAATATTTGACTGTGCTTTCAAAAATAATAATTTTCCAACCTGTATGTTGAAACCATGAACATGGATTATTTTTAATTTTGTATAATTTTTTGATTATTATTTTGGCTCTTCTGGTCAACTCCATGTATTGGAAATATCAGCATTATTTGACTCCACACAGTAAACTGTATCCTTGAAAGAGAGAGACCATTTTTCTTCCTTAGCCTCCTCTGTTCAAGGGAAGGGAAGGTAAAGTAATGCCATCATCTTCTAGTTCAGCTTTGGCAGCAAAGAGAATTTATTGGGTGAAGAAACAGCCTTATCTAAATCATCCATTGGGCAAATGGTGATTCTTAAAGAACTATTGGTGATAAAAATGTTTTACAGAATTGAACTATTCTTCCCTTGGAATTCACATAAATATAGTGCATTTATTTTTTTAGCAAAATAACTCTGCACATAATGAACAAAATTCTCCAACACCAACTCCAGCTGACTGCCCATAATTCACCCTTAGGAGACAAAGTTCTTTAACATTCCAAAGCCCTGACCCAGAACAGATCTGACAGAGTTTGCTGACTGCAATCTGTTCTGGAGAGGCTGCTGCCAAATTGAAAGGGTAAGTTTTCTTTATCAGATGGGTGACAGTGGGTTTATTTTCAACATTGTCAAACTAATACTTGAGGGAAACTTTTTTCTAGCATTTAAATCCTAATTGAGAGGATGCCAGAAGTTTACTCTTTTATGTTAGGGGTCATTTTTTAATTATAAACTGAAAGAGTCCAGAGTTTTATAAATAGTTTAAAATGTTGGCTCTATTTTCAACAACATGAGCCAGGTGCAGAACATGACTTTTGGATCATTATTGTATAATTATATGTAGTTGACAGTGCTCTCATATCTTATTTTAAGAAATTATGTTAGCACATTAGGATTCTTTAGAAGACTGCTCCCTATTCCAGAAAAGGTAGACTTCCGGTGATGGGAACCACCAAGTTTCCAGACATAGCTTCTCCAAAATAACTGTCATAGGTGGAGTTAGAAGAGTTGTATAGCTTTAATAAAAAGAATAAGAGAGCCCAGCATGATGGCACATGCCTGAAATCTCAATAGCTTGGGAGGCTGAGGCAGGAGGTTGTGAGTTCAAAGCCAGCCTCAGCAATAGCGAGGTGCTAAGCAACTCAGACCCTGTCTCTAAATAAAATACAAAATAGGGTTAGGGATGCAATTCAGTGGTCTAGTGCCCCTGAGTTCCATCCCTAGTCCCCCCCACACCCCACCGAATAAATAAGAGAATTGGGGTGTGCTGGCACATACCCATGATCCCAGCTACTTGGGAGGCTGAGGTAGGAGCATTTCAAGTTTGAGCCTGGGCAACTTAGTGAGACCCTGTCACAAAATTTTAAAAAGGCCTGGAGATGTGGTTCAGTGGTAGGCCACCCCAGTAGCACCACCACCAAAAACAACAACAACAACAACAACAAAACAAAACAAAACAAACAAAAAAAAACTAGAGAATGTAGATGAGAACTAATACAGAAATCACAGTCTTCATAATGCCCTGCCATAGTTGTCTAGTTCTTCTTCATGGAGGCGTAGAAAGCAGGAGAGAGGAGGGTGTGTCTTTCTTCAGGGTAAACACTAAATGAGTGTCCCAAGGAAATTTTTGCGGGTGAGTTTCTTCACTCTATATCCTTCATGCCCTGAAAGAGTACATGGTGAACTTTGAGCAGAAGCTTCACTAAGACTTCCCAGAGTCAATCATCTCTGCATTCCTACTGCTTGATTCCCCAGTAGTCATCCTATTAGAAATACTTCAACACTGAAGACAGAAGGAAAGTCCTTGGGATTCCACTGACTCCCTAGGTATTTGATTTTGTGAATTCCTTTTCTAAACATTTTATAAACTATTTAGAGAAGAGTTAAGAGACTTGTTGAGCAAAACATGGAGCTCAACAGAAATTAAATCTGCAAAGGAACAGGAATGCTGCAAAAATAGAAAAAAAACAGAGAGGCAACTTGGGTGTCTCAAGGACTTCAGCACTTGCCACACTCAGCTGCTCTAGCCAGTTTTCTCCATGTATTTGAGTGACAGATATTCCTCTCCCAGACGACATGGTGCTCATATCTGGGCACTTCACTTTCAAGAGTGAAGGAAACAAATAATTCAGAGGGATTAGTGTTGAATTTTATAGCTTTTTTTGGCTGGGGGGAGCTGCATTTAGGTGCCAAGCAGCATAGAAATTTGGTATAGCTTTAAATATTGAAATTGGCATTTCACAGATCATGACAAATTTACATTTAAAGGGGGAAATATGCTCATGTTAATAAACTGTACAGTCTTATTTTTGAAAAATTTTCTATTTCTCATCTGGTAAATTAAAGATGAGTTTCAAACCAGTCACTGTGAAGCTATAGTTTTCTCAATTCAATAAATCTGACAAGCAATTTCAAGCACATAATTCCAAGTACCAAATATTTTACTAGATACTGGGAATGTAAAAATGAATAAAATGAAGCCTCTATCTTCTGCACGTTCACAGCCTAGGCCTAAAAAACAGTGTCACATCAGCCCCCAGGAAAACCAGTAACCACACAGAAATTGACTGCAGTGCCACTGCATTTAGTTGGTGAATACATTAATCAATTCCAATGAACTAATTGCAAATACTGTGCATTAAATTGGAAATGCCTTTTAAGCCAACAGAATCGTACAGCAGGCAGCTGTGTATTTGGTGTGTTACTGGCCCTGAGTTGGCAGTGCTTTCACACAGAAAACCCTCATTACTTCCAGAATGAGCTGGATGTGGATCAACACAGAAAGGAGACTGAAATGATGATCCTATAATTGTATCCTATTTAAAACTCATTACTTCAGATTCTATTGAGTTTAAAATTTCATCTCTTGGACTAGGAGGTTATTGATAGCTCTGTCTGTCGAGTGGGATCTCCTAAATCTTTTTTAGTGAATATTTCATACATTAACCCATTTTATTTCACAAAAAACTGGCCATAAGGTCTAATACTGTTTTCAGTATCCAAAATCGAGGACCAGCATTTTTATTTTTAGTCATATAATTCTGAAAATTGTGTTTTTGTGTGCCAGGACTTACATATAAGTGTGTTCATGTAGTGTCATATGCAGTAGCTCTAAATAAGTATAACTGTAATATCCAAAGATAATAGAAAATATAACAGTGCATTCAAAGCATATATGATCATATAGCAATACAATGAATGAAATAGAGCCAAACATGACATTATAAGAGGAGCACACACACAAATATATCCATGAGATATTTAGCAGTATTCAAAACTTGTATATTGGTGTTGCATGCATAGGTGTGGTCCTCTTTAGAAATGAATTGGGTCTTGGGATGTATCTCGGTGGTAGAGAACATGCTTGCCATGAGCAAGACCCTACATTCAATCGGCAGCACCAAAAATAAATAAGTAATTTAAAAAAATTAAAGCAAAGTAGTAATTATAAAAATCATGGCTATGATTCCCTCAAGAGGAAAAGAGGAGGAGTTGTTGAGGGCTTATAGAATAGGCATTCAATATAATGGGGAACCTAAAATCTATCAAGATAAATGCAATATATATGAAATACAAATTAATGCAAAAATACATGATAAGATATCCCATTTTTAAAGTCAGGTCATTAGGGGGCTGGCAGTGTTCTTTCTTTTGACCTGTGTGGTAAGTTGTTCTCATTTGCCTTCATTGGACTGTATGTCTACATTCACTGCACTTTTCTGACTTGTATTTCAAAAAAATTGAAAAAGCTAGTGAAAATTGACACAGGCTCTTCATTTCTTGTAATACTTCTTTAGTTCCATGTTTTTGTCATGTAATGAAGATTTCTCCTAGTTTCTTTTAAATTCTGACATTTAAAATTATAACAACAATGATATTGCCAAATAAAATCTCCAGTGATTTTTGACAGTAGGTTTAGATTGCTCATCAGAAAGTTGGCTCTGTGCTTGCCTCTATTTTGGCATCCAAATATTCAATTTAACTCCAGGTATCAACCTGCTTTATGGCTCTCTTTCTTACCTGAATAATTAACCTGTGAATGGTTGGTTCACATTAGAACAATTAGTTAGTTGATTGCTGTAGTGTAAATGGGGTTGTTAACATGCCATGTTTTTTTCATGTTTTGGAGGGTTTTTCCACACCTTGCCTCCATTCAACCATGTAATCACAGAGATCAGTCCTGTTTTCATACAAAGTATTAATCTAGTTCAGTATTTCACAAATTGGGTTTCATGTTGAGATTTATATATGAACTATAAAGTTATTTACAGAGAATAAGATTAATGTTGGCCTGTATTGACACAAGAACTTTTTTGGATGCTTTTTATAGTGTAGGGTGCCTAATTGACTAAAAAGCAGGTCATTACACTGTTACAAAGAGAATATAGCTTTATAAAAATAAAGTCTGAAAATAAACTGATGAATACTGTTTCACCTTTGATAATAAATATTTCTTCAGATTGAAAATTTTAAATTTGGGTAGGTAGAAGCCTGAGCAGGGGGGTTGGTAAAAAACTGGGGAAGTCACCCAGAATCTGACAGGCATGTTTTGTTTATTTAACTGGCCTGTTTTTTGTTTATGTTTCCTTGATTTGATTTGAACAAAAGATTTCAGTTTGATAGCTCTGTCTATAGTAAGAAATACTTACTAAGTCCTACACTGTGCCAGGCACTTGAAAAATTGATATAATATGGTAACCGAATAGATAAGATCTTTGCCTCCTAGAATTTATAGAATAGTTCTTTAAGGATGTTCTCTCATATTTAAAAGTTTAGTAAACAAAATTTTAAATATCAAAGCAAATGGCTCTTTTCTTTCACAGTAACCACTCTTCATAGATTGCTAACCTTCCAGACCACTTTTATACTATATAAACACATTTAGCTTACCAAAATGGAATCTTTCATAAGAAGATATTTTTGAAGCTTCCCATCTTATTACATATAGATCTATCCTATTGTTTTTTAAGCCTACGTAGTATTAACCTCTATGAATATAACAGAACCTATTTGCTACTCATTGATAACCATTAAATTGGATTTATACATGGTGCTGCAATGAGCATGTTTTACTTCTAAGCATTTAGCTCCATCAGTATGTCTTTTTAAGTACATGAAACAAATTTTTTCTCACAAAGAACTATGAGGACTCTAATTTTGGCATGAATTACAAAAACTAATTCTACACATGGAGACTTTGGGGCCAAGGTTACACAGTAAAATGTCATTACCTGTCTGTTGTCTGTACTTGGAGAGGAATCCCATAGGAACACTGAAGGGGTGGAGATGAGTTCCCTCCCCTATCATACACATTTCTTCTTCTTTTTCCCCCCCAGGCAGGTAGTATCAACCACTCTGCTCCATCTTGGATTTACAAGAAATTTCATTTCTGAAAGTTACTAAATCTTAGTTTAGTAAAGGGAAGAAATGAAATACAAGGAAACCAAATACAAACTAATTTACAATAATTTCTTTTTCCTTTTCACCAGCTTACTTTGTTGGTCAAATCTGCAAGCATTGTTAACTTCAGCTCTTGTCTTATGAGGAAATGATAGCATTTGGTTATGACGCCAAATTAGC